TATTCTCTCGGCAGTAGACCCCCCCCCACACCTCCACATCGACAGTTTCTTTCGGAGCTTCTCTAAAAAGCTTGGGAACGAAAGCAATAAAATAAATAAAAACAAAATTAAAGAACTCCCTATTTTTGCTTTTCTTTCTCAACTTTTTGTACTGTCCCAGTGACCCCCAGAATCAAATGTGGTCACCGTATTTCTGCGGGAGGCATAAGAGTTCGTAACGCACACACACACTCTGGGATTTCCCAAAGGTCTATGAAATTTTAATTACACCGCTGACTTGAGAAATATAATCATTTCACCAGGAGCATCTACCGTAACGCGATGGTTAACAAGCATGTCCCAAGTGTAGCGATTTTAATCCACCGTGGGTACCGCATCGTCAAATCAAGACTTTCATATGGATGCCATGCATGGTGGCAAATTCGTTCAGAAATATCTTAACTGTCAGTTGTATACAACAGCCTTCACAGTTCAATGATTAAAATGGCTTCAAGCGAATGAAGGATGTAGGTATTAAGGAGAATCATCCTTCTAGTAGTCTGGCGCTACATAATCACAAAGAACAATACCAAATAACAGATACCGCATCAGTTGAGAATTTTCAACAACAACAACTAAAATGGATAACACGTATAACTTGAAAACAAAATAATGAAGTTGTTGACGTTTAATACTATTCCGAACAAATGGTTAAGAAGGAAGCACTTCCCCATCAATATTAGAAAGAGCGATAACAGTTACAGGATTTGAGAAACTTATTTTCCTGAAAAATGATTTTAATAGTAAGATTTTATAAATTTCATCCGGCCTGTAGCACTGTCTGCTCGGTCAATGAATGCTGAATGTTTCCTTTTCAGGAAACAGTTAATATTATCATTACCACTGTGACATTGTACCAGAAGAAATTAAACTGACTAAAATATGTATAACCATTTCAATTGCGGCTCCTCATTGGGTGCTCCACACTTTTGGCCTTCACTTAGAAAATCATCATTTCACCTGTGGTACCTACCGTAGAGCGTTTGGCTCATTTTCGATTCTGCTCTGAAAGCGTTCGATTCTTAGCAAACGCCTTCAGTATTATCTTTGACTAATTGACTAATTCAACTGAGTAAATAGCTATTTACTGTTTAGAATTTACAATAGAGAATTTTAAGACAAGCAAACCTTCTTTGCTTGGGGGATTGGAGAAACACAATCTCCTGCCGCAATCCCCTGCTAACCTTGGACCGGATTAAGTTAAGCTTAATAAATATTTGTAATCATTTTATATGACTTTAATCTCTTGAGTTCTAATTCCGTAATAAATTCCATTCTTTACTTGTGGTACCAGACACCATCATGTAAAACACAATCTCTCTCTCACTCTCTCTCTCTCTCACACACACATATATCTTTGGTATGTGGGGAGCAATCTTGCATTTATTCAAATTTGTTCAAAGACCAGCTTTTTTTTTTCAGTATTTCGGATAATTTTCCTGGCTAGCAATAACAGTTTAAATATAAATTGTCTAATGTCTGAGTATATTTATATATATATATATATATATATATATATATATATATATATATATATATATATATATTCAATCATTCATACAAAAAATCAAATGTTTTTTGTATGATTGATTCATGAATTTATAAATTATAATTTGCACCTTTAATTGAAATATATATATATATATATATATATATTTAGTTTATGCAAACTTAGGTAATGGGTAGACCTGAGGAGGATGATATCCAGAGAGCTCAATGTAAAATTCAGAGCAGATATGTTTGAATAAAAGACAGACCACATTAAGATTCCATGTAATAAGCTATTTCACCATAACCCCTTTAACAGGGTTCTGGATCATCAGACTTTACTTCCAAAAGCTAAAATGAAAAATGAAAAGAAATTCACACGTTTTTGACGGACCTCATCAAGTATACGTAAAATTAACGAAGTGAGGGAGTGAGGCGGGAGAGAGGATATGAGTGTGTCATATGTATCATTTCAGTTTCCTATTTTTAACCCCAGTGTGTCGGCTAGATGTTGCTCAAATGTAACGCGTCTCGTCTCTAGATATAGATGGCTAAGGGGTGAATGATAAGAACGACATTAAAGGAAGAAGCTACAACAATCCCAATCAATTACACGACCGGTTTCATTCAAATTCTCAGACGCTGTTAATTCGCGTTACTTTAATGTGCATATTTGGGAGGTTAAGGTTTGATAAATATCTAAATGTTAAAACAATCTACGAAGAAATTAATTTGAAATTCGGTGGAGTTTTGGGTATTTTCTATGAAACAGTCGATTGGAAAAATTCATAGACAGAATATTGAAAGAGTAATCCATTTTATATTTAGTAATCTTTTTTATTCCACTAAAACTTTTAAAAACTTCGGATATAACAACTTGTAAGTCTATAAAAACAAATTGGTACCCGAGAAAAAAAATTTGAAAAAAATAAAACAACTAGAAACATCCGAAAAGGGCGAAATAAATCGTCCAGTGACTTAAATTTTTAGTCCAAAGAAAAAAAAACCCCAAGCGAGTAATAAAGCTAAAACATAGAATGCTCTATACGCTGAGTAGAGCAGGGCTAAATAATGGAATAAATCCAAAATAGCCAGCTAACCCTGAAGATCCGTTTAGGTGAAACCTAGGTAGGCTCTTTAGGATTTATTTCATTTATATATGTATTAAAAAGATTCTGTTGGTATACGTGTACGCATATATATATATATATATATATATATATATAAACAACAACAATTCACTGAGACAAGTTTGCTTTCTTTTTAATTCAACTGACAATGTGTAGCTAAATTTTGTTGCATTTTTACTGGTCTCGAATCAGTTGTACATCATAATTAAAATTATGGATAAACTAGTCAATGTTTATGTTTTCTTTCTGTGTTTGTTCAAGGACCTTCGACCGCCTCAGTCATTATCAAGTATTGTATGTTGTCAGTATGGTAGGCCAGATTCTGTTGGCTATATTCTGTCATTTTGGGACCCTATTTCTCAAATTTAAATGTATAACTGAGGCCATGTGTAGAATAATTTTCTAGAGCTGAACAGCAGTGGAAAATGAATGTATAAAATATTTTAAACATGTTATTAATATTTTCGATGCATGTCATTTTATACAACCTGCTGTCTTCTGCAGTGAAAGATATTGAGTGTAATAATATTTGTTCCTTTTCTGTATAACAATCCGTAGAATATCACGTTACAAACAAGCCTAAATGCAACTCTTAATACAAATATTAAATGCTAGACATCACTCACTCAAAACAGGAAACACTCAAAATACCCAGTTCTGTTATTATAGAACCTGCATGAAATAAAGACGCTGTAGCCAAATGAAGATTCTGCAGAAAAATGCAGGAATCCTGAACCCCAGTATAAGAATGTATAGCTGGAAAATGCCTGAGGTAAATAAAAGGAAATAATAATAATAAAAAAAAACAAAAAAACGAGCTGTTATTGAAACTGAAAACGTGAACCCCTATGTTCTATGAGGGGAGTCCTACAGGAACTAATGTTGAAATCCGTGTTGGTTAGAGGGTTTTTCAGCGTAATTCAAGTATACACGTCAAGCAATCTTTGATTGTTGTTTTGTGTATATATATATATATATATATATATATATATTCATACACATTTCATTAAATAATATAGACAAGTGTTGTCTATTTATTTTATGTAAACTCTTTTCATAACGTCTAATAAGTTTAATAACATTATAATTGAACGTAGAAAGAAATTCACAATATTGATCCATATTTTTTTTAATACAATCTAAGCTTTCGGCTTACATAAGCCATTATCAAAGATATCAATTACAACATATTAAGCAATATACGGACAAGACAGTGATGACAGTCTGTGAATGTTTACATAGATGATCTCTAAGCAACGATAAACACGTGCAAATAAGACGCTAGAAGCGAAAATCGCACCGCATCTCATTACGTCACACATGACCACGCGAGAGTGAATTGGAGAAGTATGAAGTATGGAATGCCATTGGCACAAACCAATGGCCCCCGTCACCAACTACAGACATTTAAGGATATTTGTAGAGATTCCATAGTTGATTTTGTTTAGGTTGGGTTTCAACTGTTTAATGTATAATGCTTCAAGGATTTTTAGTTTTTGTCTATTGTTTTCGTGTCGAAGTACAATTATGTTTTCGACAAGTATTTTACGGAATTGTGTATGCGGGCAGGCATGTTGTTTTAAATGCCTAAAAATGTTAGAGTTTTCATTCCAATGTAGTGTCGAGCGTCGTGAAAGCGAGTTTGTGGTGTGACCAACATAAATATTATTTAATTCGTTGGAGATACACTCTCCCAAAGGGCACTTGAATTTATAAACTATGTTGGTTTTTTGCAAATCGCTAACCGGGGGAGAAGAATCATTGCGAAGAATTAAGTTGGATATACTAGATTTAGTGTAGTATATGATTAATTTAATTTTTTTGCTAGGATCTGTAGTTGATATATTAGAATTTACTAAATTTTTTAGTATATTTTCATCTTGTTTATAATGAGTATGCATTTGATTACGATATAGGAGATTAATATGTTTGAGATCAGTAGAAGCAGTATTATGTACTATTTGCTTAGTATTGAGATTTCTTATATATAATAAGCTGAAACGCACAAAATCTATATGGCTGGTAGAAATTGCTGCATATTTCTGTTAAGCTATCAGTAATCGAACGCATTTAAAAGTCAACATGAATCTTCAACCCATTTGAAATACAGGCGCAACATAATATTCATACACCTTATTTTCAATGATTGATTAATTAATTTGTTTTTTTTTATGGTTTATCAACCTTTTGCAAGTTATTTAAAGCCAGAAAGTATATTTCGATTGAAATAATATTTTGGGAGATAATGAAGTGTATATAACGAATCAGGCTGGAATTCGAACACGGCTCTCCGATTTCCAATTCCGAGCCGCTATTCATTTCACTCTCCACGCACATCCAAACTTACAGTATCTGGTATTCCCAAGCGGTCACCCACCTAGTTACTGATCAGGCTCGACATTGCTTAACTTCGGTCATCATACGAAAACCTGTATTTCAACATAATATGGCCGTAAACCACTTTATGCTGCCGTAAACTAAACAACGCTTACTATTTTAAAACTAGTATCGTCGATCAATTCATTCGCTGGGCTGGAGCAAGAGTCTCGTGGGCCCTCACCTAATCTATGAACCCCTTACTGAATCTCCTACTCTATTACATCTCAGTTTTCATATGGTAGTATTCGTATAAGATACAAATTTTATTCTAACTTATATGCAATATAGGTGGACAATTTAACTAGAAAAATTGTAAATAAATACGACGTATCTAAATACAAATTAGAGATATGTCATAATAGATCATCCCATCTTAAATAAATCAACAATGTTTTGCGGCAATTTTTAACATCAACTTGAGGTCTTGTTAAAAATTTGAATAATTTAACACATTCAACATTATGGATAAAAAATAGTGAATTTTATATAGTGTTTTTTTTTTTTTTTTTGTAGACTTAACATGAACAAAACAAATACGCAGATTCGGACGGAAAAAAAGACCCAAGAAAGGCATCAAAACTCACGACTATTTTTCATCCTTTAATAGTCATTTGTGCTTAGTTAAATTTGTAACGTATATAAATGTAGGTAGAAAAAAACAAATATTGATAAGATAGCGAGTGTCACTGTCTGGAGGCCCCAGTCATGTACCACCTCCGGTTAGGGAGTTCGGGAGTAGGACGCGACCGGCTCTGTTCATCAGTACAAGTTTGATCTTTACCATGTTGCGAGCTTCTGTTAAATTAATCGTTAGCAAATAATGCCCGGGCAAAGAAGGTAAGAAAAGTTAACCTTCGAGCCCTGATAAAGCAAGTCATGTTGTAAGAAACAGTCTTTCTATCATCATTTTGGCGTTTTTGCCTTACAGACCAGAACCGAGGAGGTATCAATATTCTCCAAACGGATCATGTTGAATCTAAGACGTTTTAAAGCGAAAGAAATCGCAAATAAGTGAAGCAAGAGTTTCAGGTTTCCAGAAAAGAGGAAACCGCAAGTTTTATGTCGATGAATTAAAACTAAAAATCATATGTTCGGCGGTAAACATTACACACTGACCTACTTATCTTGCCTGCAAGCTACATCTCATTTGTCTTAGGTTTTGGTGGTACGTTAAAACTTGGAATTGGTTCAAAAACTTTGAATCAAAAGAGCGAGTTTAGAGTACATTTTAAAACTTTATAAACACACACACACATATGAACATAAATATTAAGTTGGGAAGAAAATCCGTTTGGATTTTTGACATGATTATTTCAAAAATAATTTTTCAGTACTTACGCCTATCCGTCATAATCTGTCGGAACTCCCAATTCTTTAACTCAAACGGATTAACTCACTTCAGCGTCCACAGCTAATATAACTAAACTAGATCTCAATTTCACCCGACTCCGTGCACCCACTTCTGGAATATCGTTCAAAAATACCATGATCATAAAACACCTCTTCAGACCAATCAGAAAAGCAGCCACTGTTTCTGAGCCACTAACTACTACAAATCCAAAGCTGATTTCACCCACGAAGAAAGAACCAACCTGGCTGACATTAGCAACGTAACACACGGCTGGCAAGCTTAACCGAACACGGCGTAATACAAGATTGTCCAGGCTATCGGCAAAGACACCAAGGCGATAACCATGAACGGTTATGCCTTTGGCCAGTGTCGAAACCAGCGACAGCAGTAGAGACCAACTTTTGAGTGCTACAATGCGATAATTCGTGGAATATTTTCCCCACGAGTTCATCTCATACGACTGCATATGCGTATCTCAACATGTCTATCTCGACTACCACCTCAAACGAAATTTATCTATCGTCTCTTCATATCTATATATTTTCGTTTCTGAGGTACTGACACAGTATAAAGCCAACACTGGCTTCACCCACAAGCGAATTTCTGACTTCGCAGTCATTAGCGACGGATCCCAAGGCAGGCAAGCTTAACCAAGCCATAGCGATGTCTTCGGACAGCGGCAGCAACAGCGATTGCTACAAGGTGAGAATTCGTACTCTGGACTACTAATTCGTGGCGTATGATCCCCGGGGGTCTATTTCCCTCGACTATATATGTGTATTGACTTTCTCCCCGTTTCTATTTCAACAACTATCTTGTGTTATACCTGTAACGGACTCTCAGTCTGTTACAACTGATAATCCGTTATGGTAATTTACCCACGCACGCATGGACTCTCCCAGCTATAAATAGGAGCAGGTACTGCCTTTTGAGTGAGGGAAGTTTTCAGCAGTCAGCTCTAATAGTCGGACCGAACATTCTTGATGTAACACTCTCGTTTGTATATATTTGTATTACTGTTTCTGTTAATATAATTGTTTAACTCGATTCCTCTCTTGTGTCTTTATTTCCGGCCCTAACAAGGCCACAACATAATCGACACCCCGGAATAAGCAAATGCTCGAACCTTGTAGATCCCGGGAAATAAAGACTTTTTTCGTTCTAATACTGTAGTTTCCTGCCGATTTTCAGCTAAGTGTTTAAATTTTGTACCGATTTCACCTTTTTAAAACTAGTTTATATATGACCCAAATTATACATTGTATGTTGTATGAATTCAGAAAGTGTTCGTCGGCAACTGTGAGAAATAATTGTCCAGTCTATGGAAATTAAACTTTAGGTGTTCGGACATTGCCTAAGATGGTTTCGTCAGTTTCGCCCGGGAAGTTTTTCTCTCGAAGATTCCCTTCGTTTCTTCGTTCGTTGTAACAGACTGACCCCTGATTCCCAACGGACAGTTTTCAGAAATAAAAAAAAATATTTCCAGTTCTTCTCAACCAATCTAAATTTCAAGATTAAGACAGTGATTTTCTAAGCGTAGCTTAGGTGCGGCACACGGCCGAAACTATGGAGCACCCAGTGAGGATCGAACTCGCTACTCAGTCGTAATAGATCTAGCAAGACAAGCTTGCTAACCATTACACCACGTCGCGGTAACCAAACGATATTATAGGCGTAGTTTAGATGTAGCACAAGGCCGAAAGTGTGGAGCACTCAGTGAGGACCGAACTCACTACTCAGTCATAATAGATCTAGCGAGACAAGCTTGCTAACAAGTTTGTTAACCATTAAACTACATCGAAGTGCTCAATGATTTTCTAAGCATAACTTAGATGTAGCACAAGGCCGAAAGTGTGAAGCACTCAGTGAGGATCGAACTCACTACTCAATTGTAATTGATCTCTAATGAGACAAGCTTACTAACCACTATAACTCGTCGAGATGTTCATTTTCAAGTTCAATATGCGAAGTTAAAAGAATCATCATCCTGGTATCTGACATAGAATCGCAGTTGTAATAAACAAATTAATTTTAGCGGAGAAGGGCGACTTGTGAATGTAGCGATTAATAAAGCATATAAATTGACTTACCTGAACTGCACCGGCCATGCTTAGCCAGAAGAGCACCCATTTAGCGCGCCTGAAACGTTGGCATATCTTGGGTTGGATCGAACCCCAGCCACACAATTCCCCAGTTTCTTCATCGTCTTCCACGGTATCGGGGAGTCTCGTGTGACATGTGGGGATCTTTCCATTCTTTTCTGTCGGAGACATAACGCCATTCTCGTTCATGGCTGTATAAGAAATTGGTCCCGTCATTTTGTGTTGTCTGTACAATTGCTCGTCACGTGATGAGCTTGTTGAAGTCGTTATAATTAAAGATCCGAGGGTAATGTGTTCAGCTTTCCTTCGTATTAGTTTATTGGTTACAGATAATCCCGACTGTGCGTATCCGGTTAATTAAGCCTGTCAAACCTGGAGGGACTGATAGTTATGAAGGTCGCTAAAGATTTTAGCAGTTAATCTTACTTTTAAAGGTTTTATTTGCACATAAATGTATAAAATTTGGACTTTATTAACGAAATAATGATAAAAAAAAATTATCTAAAAAATAGAATGAAATTTGTGCACACGAATACACTTAGACGCTAATAAATTTGGACCAAAAACATCCAGGTTAAAATTGAATGTTTACTTATTTTTTCTTATTATTTACTTATATATTTGTTTTTTATGGAGTCTTATTTCATTCGTTTATAAAATGCCTGTTTATAACAAGAACAACAATACATTTCCTTTAAAAAAAAAAAAATGGTTTCCCTTTCTTTAGTTCGCAATTACTTCGATTATCAGTGATTTTCCGTAGTGGCAGGGGAAAAAAAAACTTGAAATCGATATTTAAAATGGACGCGATCGGGGAATGCTTTCTTTTCATTCGTCTAATTAAAATATAAGTTTTATTTCTCAAGTGAACAAGAGGATGAAAAAAAAAAAAAAGAAAAAGAAAACTACGAAAACTTTATTGCTATATTCTTTAATGGAAGTTTTATTTTTTAGTTTTTAATATATAACTTTGGCAAACTGAACCGCGACTTCAATCGTTTGGTCACTATTAAGGTTTCTTTTAACAGATATGTTTATATTTCTAACTGACGTCTTCGAAATGAATACACTCACCTTGTGAGTTTAAGACGATTCTATGCGGCCAAATCTGCTCTCTCAACCGGGTAACAATAATTTCGTTTACAACAAGGAAACAATAAAAGTAATGTTTGGAAAAATATGGCAATATTTGAAGAGTGCTTTTCTCAGAAATTCGAATTTTTTGGCATGCGTTGCAATGTCTGAATTTATTCTCTCACAAAAAAACTGATATGGCACTTTTTTGATATGTATACATACACAAGCACACACACATACACACACACACATATATATATTCAATAATTTTTGGTCATAAAAGGATAAATATGTTAATTTAGACAATTATGACTTTTAGAAAATTCAGGTTCTATGTTTCTTAAATCAATCAATATAGTTGAAGTCAAATGATTGATTTAATTTATTTGACAGATAAACTCTTGCTTTTTGTGCGATTAGTTTCCTCTGTTGTTTACGCATATATCTACGTCTTTATGTCTGTATTTTGAGTTGTCAGACTAAAGCGAGGAAGTAAGTGTCAGACTGAAGAAAAACAACAGTCTATGTGTAAGATTTTTTTCCAAG